AAATCTGGCTAGGCTTGATTTTTTTTTTTTTTTTGACAAGCATCTTTCTTTAATACTAACTAACTTGATGAGCATAACAACTCGCTGGGAGTCGGTATTCCTGTCCACTCATGTTATTGATAAATTTAGCCCGCGATGAAAATTAAATAGCTTGGACTATCGAAAACCCTCAATTAGCGATGAATTTCATGTGTACTGAGAAAATTAAATTACCATCAGAGAATTTCACGACCCCCGATGAAAAAAGAACTGCAAAGGAAAAGAGCGCGTCCAATTTGAAGCTTCGGAATCCCAATATTCATCGATCAAATTCGTCATACCCTTGACTCGATCAGGACGCAATACAATCGCGGGAGTTGCGTTTCAGGGACTCCCGAAACTATTCGATTAAAGAAGCCGTAATACACGAAAAAACGAAGCAAAAAAAAAAAAAATGAATGGAAGGGCCAGGAAGTGACTAAACGGAGCTAAAAACGACGAGAAAACATAACAAGGACGGAAGAATTCCCATCCCCAAGTTGAATGCTAATTTTTTTTTTTTCCTGTACTCCAGAAAACAAAAACGCTGGCTTTTAATTGTCGTGCGAGGAAAATTTTCCACTTTTCAGCGTGGCCTGGCAAGACAAGAACGGCAGGGGATGTGGGGCTACATTTTTTGCGCTCAAAAGTACACACGACTGGGCTGCCGCGAAACAGAGGGGGGGGGGGCCATATTTTCCGCTTGCGGTGACAGCGGCGACGACGGACAATTATAAGCTGGGGAAACATGGCACTTGCCGGCCAGCTGTATCGGAAAATTGTCGCGCAGAGCCGTTCCTTCTTCCCGCTACCGACACCGCTATATCAACACTTTTCTTTTGAAGCTTTTTTGCTCGATTTTCCATTTTTTTTTTCTCTCCTTTCAAATGACGCCAGCGTATATTTATTGCTCAAAGCGAGGGCACTATGTTTTTCGACGTGAGCACGGGCCTCCGTGGTAAGTTACGACAAAAGGACTGGCGCGTAATTGAAAGTGTTGATGAAAAGTGACTTTGCAGATGGAGGTGCCCACGAGGCGGTGCACTCGATCACTATATATACGTGCGAAGAAAACAGCACAGCTATTATGGCACACGACAGCCGAATGTTGCTGGGAGGGAAGCATAATTTGTAACATACCTTGATTACTCGGTGAGAGGGAGAAATTTAATCGAAAAAATGCTGCGGCTCTACCCGTTGAGCTTAATCGTTTTTCCGATAATTCCTCGATGAGATCTATAAGTCGGTGTTTTTTTTCGCTTCGAAACGTTTTACTAATTGCTTGTTTTTTGAGCGAGATATTTATAGCAAGACGTATGAATCATTTCTGTTTTTGGTGTAAGGAAAATTTCAAACGTATCAAGCTGTCAGACCAACTTAGATGATTTTCATTTGATTTACCTCAAAGCTTTGGTTTCACTTTAAATGAATGACGGTTTTTATTTAGACATATTTTATATACACAAATTACGTGCATTAATCTGATACAGTTACAATAAATGTATTAATAAAAAAATAAAAAGACTTTATACCCTGTTATTCGAAATTAAGCGATTTTTAGGTACCGCTAATACGTGGGAGAGCATTGTTTTTTTGTCAGAGCAAAAAATTTAACCACCTATAAATGGTATACTTTTTGATGTCAAACAAATCATGAGCGTAATTTAAAGAAAAAAAATCACTCACACGTTTACTACAGTACTCAGTAGAAGAGATTTATAATTTTTTTACCATAACTTTACTACGTACATGTTTTATGTTTTAGTTAAGAGTGAAATGTAAAGATATCGATGAAATTCAATTTTTATGTGCTACGTGATAAGTTACTGTATTGTGCAATGCAGTTGCTCCACATTATTAAGTACGAATAAAAACAACGAAAAAACGAAGCATTTTGTCTTTTTACTCTCATTTACAAAAATTGTAGTATAAATAACATTCTTCAGATTATAATTAATCTAATGAAAATAATAAATTTAAATTTCTACAGCTTTGAAAAATCGTAAATGTAGAATCCTTCGAGTTCACTTTACTAGTAACTTTGTACTTCTACCACTACTAGTATTTAGCCATGAAATTTTACTGAGGCAAAAACACCAGTTAATAAATATTTAGTATCTGAAACGCTTTGTATACCACTTTATAATCCCCAAATTGAATTGCTGTCTACAAGTTCGTTTATTCAACGTCAAACAATAACTAGTTACTTGAAAAACATCTTACTAATACTTTTATAATGAGTTTAGTTTACTATTGTAACAGTAAAGTTATAATTATTGTAGTAAAATTAAGTTATTGCGCAATATAGTTGCTTGAATTATCAAAGTATAAAATTGGTTTCGTCCAAAATAGTTAACTTGACTATTAGACTTGTTAATTATTCTATTATTGACAGACTTGACGAGTTGAGTACTTAATAACTCAGGTATAGTTCATTTTGAATGAACTTATCGTCATATAATTTATTAAAATTTTAGTGCTTGAAAAAATTTCAATTTTGATACAGCAAAATGACTCTAATGATAATATAATAAATTAATTTATATTTATGTATCATAGGATTGTATATATTATTTGTCTTAAAAAATCAATCAAATCACTGACACTAAACCCTCTAATAAGCTGAAATGCTTTACCGTATTATTTACAGCCATGAAATATTATATACACCAAATATTCATTATTAATTAAGTAAAAATAATTTGTCCAATCACTGTGAGTGGGCCAACAATTGTACCATTTACCCCTACACGTAAATTATTTTGCGGATAAATTTAGTCATTCCATCGAGTTATTGTTTTTCAGTGTAAGCAACAGGATTTGAAGATCTTGCCAGGAAAAAACAAACTTTTATTTGATGCTAGACTCATTTAGTAAGTTAGCAAATGTTTGTCTTACTATATCTGTAAAAATGTGCTATACTATGTGAAAAAATAAAGTGAAGAAAGTTCCCAATCGGTCAACTAAACTTTTGTATATTTTTACTATTATCATTGACACACTAGCAGAATTCGCTCTAAAATTTATTTTTAATACATTGATATGTAATTCCCACAATCTTTAAATTCTACTTGGCTATACATATAAGCGTGACAAGCTGAAAATTTTTTATTTCTTATCAACAAGTGTAAGTTAGTCTATTAATCTTACACGATAAAAAAGTCAGTTTTAGTAATTGTTGCTGCATGTATCAGCTTTGTTATTGCGGTAAGGAAAAATTTTTTTCTTTTAGCATAATTACCACGACAGGTGATGTAAAAAAACGGAGCGTAGTCATAATTATAAATGTCGAAGACATTAATTTTATGACAGTTACTGAATTAAAAAATCTGTTAAGAAAGCAAGTGTAAAAGGAAGGAAACATTATTTAGTTGAACAGTGTGTGTGTGTACATATAAAAATAATTGTGTGTAGTGCGCAATAACAATAAAAATAATAATACGTAGATTCGCTGCCTGGCACCATCTGAACCAAGCTTGTTAGGTCGCCATCCCCGAACTATAAGGAAAAAATCATGAACACTGGTTTTTGTGGCGGTGACAACCTTTTTCCATGATTTATATGTTAAGTTTTTATCTATATCGATGATATGGACCAATATAATACATGGAAATTGCGGAAAATGATGTCATCTCCACTGAAATCCATGTTTACGACTTCTCCTTCGTAGTACATGACATTGTAAGCAAAATAAGACCCATCATAAGGGTCTTTACAAAAAAATTTTTATTTAAAAATTGAGAACAAAAACGGGATATTTTTTGTATATTTACTCATATACATTATTTGTAAGCCTTATCTAATCTGTAAACTTTACTGTTATTTCAAGTAATCTCATTTTCTGAAATTACTTGCTCATTTTTTCATAGATATAACGTCAATCAAGACATTATACTCGATATTTTGAGCAGGATTATTTATATTGCACCCATACATGCATACGCACTTTTTTCCATGCCAAGCAAGTTTAACCTACTGATGAAATTCATACTTGGTACCTCTATTACAGAGTGCAGTGTGCATTAAAAGGGCAAATAAAGAACAGTAGTAAAAAGAGAGGGAATCGTTTTTTTATTATATATACTGTTGTTTGATTGCTGTGATTGCCATAAGCATAAAACCTTACTAATATTTTTTTTTATGAATTCTGACGTTGCTTAATGCAATAAGTTAAAATTTATTTTTATTTTATATTTAATGTCAATGTACTGTTTATCAAATTTTCTTTGTAGTTATATCGTATTATATTTTAGTCACTAGATAAAGACTGCCTAGTGTGTAATCAAAAATATAAAACGCGCGATATCTTCTGAGAAGCTAACATAATTAAATAGTGGAATTTCAACCTAGAGATAGAAGTTTGTCTATGAACTGCCATCCCTTTAAATCTTACTGGCAGCTTATACTATCAAAGCCGTAAATCGGTATAGCAGCAATTATAACTGGTCGATCGTCCATTGAATTTTTTGACAATCGTTTTTGCAATTTAGGATAATTTTATTGTTTCAAAAGAATTTTATTCCAGTGCAGCGTAATAACTCTAGCAGTAATGAAGCAAGTTTATGTCTATGAATATGTCGTATACGGTGATAATATTGGAGGTAAACTTTACTTTTACATAAAATTATTCTTTTTAGTATAAGCAATAGGAGACAAAGATAAACTTTTATTAAGACCATGAATTCTATCGTAAATGAGCAAGTGTTTGTCTCACTATCAGTGGAGAAGTGCTTTGGTATTTGGAAATCCCACTAAGATTTTACATCGTTTTCATAGAGCTCTGATTTTGGTGAATATATAGACAATTATTAAGGTTAAGAAAGTATCCAATCAGTCAACTAGAATTCCGCTATACTTACATTTTCCACTATTATCACTGACACATTAGCAGTTGTCTCATAAATATATTTTTAATACATTGATACGTAATTCCCACCATCTTTATACTTGCCTATATAAGCTAGGCTAGCTGAAAGTTTCTTGTTTCATAACAAAAAGTTTAAGTTGGGATTTTAATCCAACACAATGAATAAGTCAATTTTAATAATTGTTGCTGCGTGTATCAGCTTTGTTTTTGCGGTAAGAAAAATATAAATTATCATGAAAATATAAACAGTACATTCTTTCATTTTATTTTGTTTTATATTTTTTCTGGTCTATAATCTATGATGTTTGCGGTTTTTGTGTACATTATATACTTTTGTCTGGTTGAAAAATATGAGACAGTAGAGGTATATGGAATTGAAGTACGGAAAAACTTGTAATCGATATACGTGGAACCCATTACAATGCTTTTTTCCACTTTTAATTATTTTATTTAGTTACTCTATGTATAGACTTTTTTGCAATATTGTTGATATTTGCACTCCAAAAGAAATTGCTAGCTTTATTGTAATATCATTGTTAGTTAGAGTAAAAAAATTTCCTGAAAACCTGATGGCTAAACAGTCACAAAGATTTCAATGTTTAGGACATTTTTTTCACAGGAACCAAAAGAGTCAGTATTGATTCCTGATTTTCGTAGAAAAGATGTGCTTCGTGCTCGACAAAGCTTCTGTTATGCTGGAAATGGATTTAATGATGGTAGAAATTCAAAAATCGCTACAATCGTTTTAATGTTGCTCTTCGACATTTTATAAGACAACTATATGGTGACGTATTAAATCTATATAATTAAACATTTCATTGATTATTTTAGAAAAACTTCGGGAAATCAAAGAATTTCGTATTTATCCATCTGACGACAGCTACTATTGTTATACAGGTTGCTTTACTACTGAAACAAAATCGGTACGTCTCGCTCATCGTATTCATTAAACCAGAGCAAAAAGAGTTATTTAAATAACAGGATTCAGTTTTGATATTATTTCGTCTTCATATACAACTGAGTTTTAACATCAATATGCTAATTTTGAATTGAAAGTAACAAACGTTTTTCTATATTAAGTGTGCTATAGCAATACAATAGATGAAATTGGCCTGTACAAAACGTGTATATTTAGAAGATCCGTAGTTTTCATATTAACAGTTTTGTCTAAAAATGTAATGTACAAAAATTAAATAGTGTAAAATGATTTTTTGGCTACTGTGACACGATTTTTGTCGATTAAATCGTTAAGAAGGCACCTTAGAGAAAAACTAACTGTATAAAAAATGTTCATTTTAATGAGCCTTACAACTTTTACATTTAACGTTTTGTTGTGGAATTTGGATTCATTTCTGTAATGGGCAAATAACTTTTTTTTTGCAGTTTTCGTATCTGTTTTGAATAATAGAGCATCTGAATTGCCATCTAGAGTAAAATGTATGTTACAAAAACATTTTTCCATAAAACTTGTCCGATTTCAAACCATTAACTTAGACATCTAACTCAAAGATACCAAAAAAATTTCTGCCTATTTTGAAAAGTAATGACACTTTTTGCTCTGACAAAATTATTAGGCACTTTCATACATTGGTCGTGCCTAAAAGAGAAATTTTTTTACAAATACCTTTTTGTCAATACAGATAATAACAGGCGAGAAAGTCTTCAGTGAACAATATATAAAAGCTGCTCTTTATCGTACATTCCCCGAAAAGAAAGCAAATAGTATCATTGCTAAGTGCAAAAATATTAAAGGTAAACTATAATTTTTTATAAAATCATTAACATAGGAACCTGCTTGTGTTTTTAGGGCGCAATATGCGCTCAAGGGCGTGGAGGCTTGCATCCAAGTCGCGTATCTTATTTTTCTCTTTAAGGGCAAAAAGTGAGGTTCTGGGTTTTGGTTAATGTAGTAAAAGATAAATATTGAATTGAAAGTACACAAAGATTCAGTCAAACGTTTAATATGTGTAGAAAAAGCTTTGTTTATGAATGAATAATCAGTATTTTAAGTCATTATTATATCTTCTTTATGTATTTTAAGTACAGTCTCGATATCATTAAAGTTCTTTCATTAAATTATCGTGAATACCGTTGTATTTCGTTACATTATTTTCTAACAATATTTATTAAAAAATTCTTATGTCCTTACAGAAAAAAAAAACAAGTTAACTTGACGTCAGTTATTTAAATATCAAAAAAAATAAAACTTCAAACTATGTTAATTGATTAATATTCGTAGAGAAAAATGGGAACTTGCTCGTGATACCTGAATCTAGTATTTTTATCCTCGAATACAGGGAGAAAAAGAAGTTATTTTCACAGTGGTATATACATAACTAGCTTAGTTAACTAGAAATTATTAATTAACATTTTTGACTTTTTAGTTGTTGCAATTTACATGCAAAATGTGGGGGGGGGGTTCGGAAATAACGGGGGGGGGCGAAAAACTATAGTTCACTTCAATTTTGAAGTGAAATGATGAATGTTTGTCCCAGTGACGTGTATTTCGACGACAGCGATAGCTCAGTGCAACGACTGTTCATTATTTCGACAGCCAATCACGGAGCACCATAAGTAGAAAGTCAAAATGAACTGCCTTGTGATTGGCTGTCAAAATACTTGTCAGTGGAATAAACATTCATAGTATTACTATTAATTGTAGTGTACTGTCGTTATTTTGGACCCCCCTCCCCTGGAAAGTCCGAAATTGCCTGAAAAACACATTAGGTATATACTTATACTTTTAGCTTTGAGGATGAATTAGGTTAATCATTCCGGTAAATAAAGTGAAATTAATGATTTTTATTTATATGTTTCGATGTACTGCTATTATTATCAAAATATTTTGTTGCCAGTTTTTCTTGTAACTTAAACTTCAATTTTAAAATGAAGAATAATGAGTGTACCTAGAATCGTAGAAGCTACCGATGCAGTGTGGCTAAACTATAAATCTAAGTTAAAATAAAAAAATACTTAAATTTATTGTGAAAATTTTATCCAAGATGTACATATTTTTTAGTTTCAAAGGATATTTGTGATGCTGGGAAAACGATTCACTCTTGTTTTACTATACAACAAATTGTTCTAGCAGATTTCATTGGATACCTTGATAGTGACGTAATATAATAACCGACAACATTAATGTTATTATCAGTAATTTTATTGACGATTAAGAAATTAAAGTAAAAAGTATTTATAAAATACTCGTATTTACAAGACGTTTAACTTCAATTCTAATACTCTCCCAAATCTAAGAAATTTAACTTTTCAGCTCGTGATCAAGGTATTGAACACTTACTTATTCATGCCGAATTTTCGAAACATCGCAAAATAACGAAAACTCAAGTGGAAAAAACAATCCTTACGTTGCATACCGTCCTGACAAAAAAATGTATGTGCTGCCGGCAGTTATTATTTTCAGCTAAGGTTGATTAATCCAGTTTACCGTTCGGCAACTTCACAACTTAATGAAGGAATGAATAATTTCAATAAATTGTCAAAATTTATGTATACCTTATTGAAACTCTTCTTTCAAACTTTTAATTTACAAGTACACTAAATTCTTAAATCACTACGACGGTCCTGTTTACAACATATAAATATTGTGGCATCAAAGCCAAGGTTTCACATTACTCAGTGAAGTTTTTAACAAATAATCAAAACAGATTCCTCATTAGAAACACTTTCAATGAACAAGTATAATATTTTTTAATTAAGAATTAAGTTTTATTTTGGAATCGTTTAAATAGAACATTAAATATCATTGAACTCTGCAAAAGATACATGTTAATGCCTCAAGTATCAAGGAAAAGGCATTCACAAGTAAAGACAAGGCATCTTTCATGATGTATTTAAGGAAACGATTAAATATATTTGTAAATTAAAATACCAATTACTAAATGGATAATATAATTTAGTTGTTTATTAAAAAAGACTTTTCACTATAAGCTATTTTTTATTTCAAATTGGAAAAAAACCACTTTTATTTAAGAATTAGAATTCAATTGTTATTGTCAAACTAAGACATTAAATATTTTAAGCTTATAACATTGTAAGTTTCAAGCACAGTCCAACTTAATTTGGACAGACGTATCGTGCTTCCAGATACACTCCTAACTCTAGCTATTATGACTACATTAACAAGGCATTAATGTTCTCGACTAATGACTGTATTAAAAATTTGTTGCCGAATAAAATTGAAATTATTACATTACTCACTTTGAGAGAAAAAATAAAAAAAGTCTCTTGTTTTCTGAAGAAAAGCTAAAGGCAAGGGGCATGAGCTTTTTTGCTCGTTCTCATGCTGTGTATTCAATTTTACGTGGAAAAAGTAGAACCTTTTCTTTTTGTGTATACTTTACTGTAAAGTAGTATAAAAAATTATTTTAAAATAATTCATCCATTCAATTGTTTATTTAAAGCTTACAAAAAATAAACTACTTTTAATAGTAAACTATAATTTTTTATAAAATCATTAACATAGGAACCTGCTTGTGTTTTTAGGGCGCAATATGCGCTCAAGGGCGTGGAGGCTTGCATCCAAGTCGCGTATCTTATTTTTCTCTTTAAGGGCAAAAAGTGAGGTTCTGGGTTTTGGTTAATGTAGTAAAAGATAAATATTGAATTGAAAGTACACAAAGATTCAGTCAAACGTTTAATATGTGTAGAAAAAGCTTTGTTTATGAATGAATAATCAGTATTTTAAGTCATTATTATATCTTCTTTATGTATTTTAAGTACAGTCTCGATATCATTAAAGTTCTTTCATTAAATTATCGTGAATACCGTTGTATTTCGTTACATTATTTTCTAACAATATTTATTAAAAAATTCTTATGTCCTTACAGAAAAAAAAAACAAGTTAACTTGACGTCAGTTATTTAAATATCAAAAAAAATAAAACTTCAAACTATGTTAATTGATTAATATTCGTAGAGAAAAATGGGAACTTGCTCGTGATACCTGAATCTAGTATTTTTATCCTCGAATACAGGGAGAAAAAGAAGTTATTTTCACAGTGGTATATACATAACTAGCTTAGTTAACTAGAAATTATTAATTAACATTTTTGACTTTTTAGTTGTTGCAATTTACATGCAAAATGTGGGGGGGGGGTTCGGAAATAACGG